GCAGGCACAACAGGTCCAGTTTCACTAGGACCCACGATGGATTCAAGAAGGGATTAGGGGGTCTAGAGAAGGAAATACCACGTCACGTTCACTTTTCCTCTCACTCTCTTCCGTTTTCCCTCTTCAACACTTTGAACGCTTCGGGTTCTTTCACTAAGTTTTCTCGTGTTCTCTATCCCTCTCTATTTATCACAGTATCTCATCACTTTGGTCCTTCTCTAATTCTCTGCGTCGTTCCAGGATTCAACGATGACGAAACTTCTGTGGAAGCTCTATGAGAGCAATGGGGAGCAAAAAAAAGAGGGAAACGGGAGGGCCGGGAAGTACTCGGCGTCACTACTCGTCACCCAAAAGAGAGACAACTCGAACCCGAAAAATACCTTTTCATGGATTTCATCGTTTTATTTGGAATCCCTTTCGATATGATTACTGTATTCTCAAGAAGTATTTATATTGCTGAATATGTTTGTTTACTTAGTGTATGCCTCATGAGGGAAACCTGGAAAGTTCTCAAGAATGTTTTTGTGTAATGTTACGGGAAAAGAAAACAACTGACATCATATGTCACCTTTGACCTAAACATCCAGAAATGTTCCAGAATTTTCTCTTTTTGAAAATGGCTTCATCAAACAAACTTAATTGAAAACCCCATATTCGTTTTTTGGTATCCCACCCTCAATAGAGGGTTATGACGATTCACTTCTCCTTTATCAAATATCAGCCAAATCCATTCTTAGTGATAATCCGACATATTCACAATCCCATCACTTCTCCTATCTTTTTTTTTTGCTGAAAAAATGTGTCTCATCACCTCTGAAAATCTGAAAATCTAGAAATATCCACATATTTTTCCTTCGATCCAGCCACACGGCTTGTAAATATTTACGGCCGAGAAGATTCAGTTTTTTTTGCAAACACAAGTTCTTTTTCTTCAGGAGAAATCTCGGAGAAAATAGAGAAGCAGAAGAATAATATATCTTCGTCACTTTTACTGATTCCTTTTGATTTTTTCCCCTAGTCCCATTCGATCATAATTTCCCTTTAGCTGACGATGATGAGATTATGCTGATTCAGTAGAAATTTGACATGTAATGGATACCTTCCTATAGAGAGCCAGACTCCGGAAGAACTACGGGAATAGTATCCGTAAAATAATTTTGAAATATCTAGGTTTGGCGAAAGTAAACGTCATGGTGATTTCAAAATACCTCGTTCAATTATTCATTTCACAACTGCGACAGACTGGGTCCATCGGGAGAAAAAAGAAGAAGCCAGACACGTCATTTTCTCAGATTTTCTAATGGAAATCCTTCTGCTTAGCAGCTTTCTTTCTCCCACACTTTTGAAATTTTTGTTCAGTAATTTTCAAGAAAGTAAAATGAAATTATGTAGACTAGAACATCAGAAGTCATTTTAAGCATTTCAAATTGTTCTTTTTATTATGAACTTTTCTGAAGCCCACTCAACTTGACGGTTTAGGTGGGCTCCTATTAGAAGGAATACGGTTAATATTTATTATTTTGACTTGAGGACAGTATATAAAAATTATATTCACAGCATTTTAAAATATAAACTAGAAATTTACGAGATTCTGAAAAGTTAAATTCTGATCCAACTTGACACAATCTGATCTTTCCAAGATTTCCAAACCATATTTGCAACATAAATATTACGTCACATCTTCTTCTTCTTCTTCTTCTTCTCCTTTTTCCACCCATATTCTTCTATTCTTGTCTCTTTTATTCCCATTCTATTCAGAAATCTAGCGGGCTTTTATCCATCGGCTTCCCCTTCTTCTTTTTTTTCGTCTTCAACTTCCTTTCCACCCTCTTCTCACGTCACTTTCATCCCTCCGTTCCATTCAATTTTCCACGTCATTTCCACTCCAGATGAATAGATTGGGAACGACGATTTGTTGTTTTCTTCGTCTCCTGGAAAAGTTAATGATAGCCGTTTTTGAATGGCTTCTCTATACTGTAACTGACGCTTGACAAGAAAATGACAGAGTTGTGCATTGCAATTTCCGTTATATAGTACCAGCCTGTTTGACTCACCTCCGGCGCTTCAAACAATTGGCTGGTGCGCCTTCGGCTCAGCTTAATTTAGTTTTTACGGAGAGAGAAAGAGACGCAACTTCATTTATTCATCATTAGAATGATTATACTTTTTATCTACTCGTCTTGTTCTTTTTCCTCTAAATCAGAACATTCGATGACCTTCTTGTATTCATTTTCGGAGCCTAATAGCAAAACAAAATGAAATCATCATAACTCCCTCTTTTTTTAATACGTTTCTATTTTTAACTATCTCTCTTTTCAGTCTCATCCTCTTCTTCCCCACGAGGATTTCGAGTTGAATTTCATATGAATCAAAACGAAATCAAAACATTTTCCACTCTCTCATGACCTCCATCATTTCGACCTTTCCCCTCTATATAATAGATTTTAAGAATTTTACGATGATTGAGAATCTTCTTCTTCAAAAATACCACAGACGTCTTGTTTTTTTTTTCGGCTCTTTTCATCCTCCCCCACATCATTTTCTCATTATTCATGCCGTTTTTTTGGTCCCTTTCCCCTTTTTTTTTTTAATGAATTGACATCATTTTTCTAAAGAAGTTTCGAACGTTTTGCAACAGCGACATCGGTTCCGAAAGATTTTCCCATTTCGTTTGATCTTACAATTAAATCTTTGAGAATAAAAAAACTCGATTACCTCAGCCTCTCTCTCTCTCTCTCCTTTTTTTTCTATTTTTGACATCCTCCTTCTGCGTCCAGAAAAAAAAATGTTTTGTTTGTTTCACCTGCTCTCTGTAGAAATGCCTATCTCCTCCTCAAGTCCTTTCATGCATCACCTGGCTCCTTCGGAGAAGTTATGATGTCTTTTATCCGAGTGTCCGGTGGCAAAAATGTCGTCATGGTCTTTGGAACTTTTTCGCCCGTTTTTGGGACAACATATGTTTGAAAAATGGGTTGTGCACGGCAGCCACATGGGAGCACATTTCTAGTATTACATCAGTTACGCGAATGGTCATCGAAGATGAATATGATGTGCATTTTTTACTCATAGTTCTCCAGTTTCCTTTTTTCTAAAAGGTACTCCCAGTGGTTTCTGCAGCACCTACACGTATACTTTCTTAACTCATAGTCAGGGAAGTAAGAGTACCCAGTACCTACAATAATCCATCATGAGTTTCTTTATATTGCGAACACTCTTTCTTTGTGCCATCCAACTCTATTCTTCATCTAGATGAACTCTCCTTTTTGAGATCTCATCGGCCCACAACCCTTTTCCTTACCCATAACTCATTATACAGTATTTGCTCTATTAGAAGCCCATCCCAGAACTTTGAGCTCATTTATCTCCGTTCCTTTGAAAGATATCAAAAATTTGTCAACTGATAAAAATTGGTGATTTTATGATAAACAATTTATCTGTTGATAACTTCTGGATATCTTTTGAACGAACCTAGATAATTGAGATCAAATTGCAACTGTAAAATGGGCTTCTATTAGAGCAAGTACGGTTATGATAGTTCCAGTAATTTCCATTTTTTGATGGGTTCTATGATCAATATAGTGTACAAATAGTGAAAATGCGTAGCGCACACACGCACGATATTTCGTCAGTCTCACCCACCGTCCAATCGAATCAAAATGTGTCTTCTTCTCTGGTTGATTTCTAAATGTCGATTTTAAATTACTCTGTGTCACTTAACTTCTGTTTTGACATGGTTGCCATGTCATCTGAAAATACGAAGTTCTGAAATAAAAATGTCAATGCTTCTGAAATTGCGATTTGACAATTGAAATCAGCCGTCATTCTCCACCCTCTACTATTTCACCTGCTCTACAAAATTCCAATATTTTTTCCCATTTATTCATTCTTCAAACTAAATTGCACAAACCACATGAACCAGATATCTATCATACCAACTATCTTTCCCCATCTCTTTCCCATTCATTTCTTTTCTTAACCGTCGTGTTCTCTATTTCACTCTCTCATTACCCACACACTCTCTATCAAAATGTCATGTTCTTTTTCCTGTCTCTACGTCTCTTCGTCTCTTTCTCTCTCTCCACCAAAAAGTGACATCACTTTCTCGGTCTATTTCAAAACGACAGTCTTTCTCTGTTTCTCTATCTGTAGGGGAGGAGTTTCTGTACAGATGAAGAAAAAAAACAAAAAAAAGAACATTTCTTTCACTCTCTAATTTTCTTCAACTCTTACCACACACGTTTCATACAGTTTCGCATATGATCGTCAAGTTTTGACATGCAAGAAATTACGAAATAATTGTCACTCAAACCATATGATGACATATTTCGAATTTTCATTAAATATCTATATAAGGAGTGTACTCTGCTTCCATTCTCTTATCACTTTCCATTTTTTAACAGATGACGTTCCTTAAATATTTTGGCTGCCCCCTTTATTCTATGTACCTCCGACCCTATAGCGCCTCTTTGTCTTTCTGAATACCCCTCTGAAATTTCTCTAAATTTCAGCTAATCATAATTTCTTTACATTCCCTATACATCATTCTCTGTTCTTGTGTGTACTGCTGACGTTGGTACTGTAACTTGGACACAATTCTCCGATTTCATTTTAGACACAATTTCAAAATTTCTTTTCCTACTGTAGTCATGACATCATGGTGGTTCATCTCTTGGAATGGGTTCTTCTTCTTCTCACTTTTATTAGTTTTTTTTTCGGTAATCTTCAACCTTCTCCTCTGCAATTCTTTGTTTCTTCAAGTAATTTCCTACCCAGCACGTTATATATCTTCTCAGATCATTTCTTCTTCTTCTTCCCTTTTTTTTACAAATTTGACGTCACTTTGATTGGCGTCCAAGTAGGCGTTAACTTTTATAATTCTTATTCCGTTCCTCTCATTGCAGAGGATGGTCAAATTGACCTTAAAGAAGTCCTACTAGGATCCACTAGGATATACCCCATATTTTCATCTGCCACTTGTTTAAAATCAAAATTTTCAGAATATGACAGTACTCGACACAGTCACGCTCTCTTCATGCGGGTTGGCGGCACTCATTCGTGAGGCTCCAGACACAACACTTATTGTTGATTGTAGAGGATTCACAGAATATAACGAGTCTCATGTACGTCACTCGATGAACGCCTTCTTCTCAAAACTCATCAGAAGGCGTCTGTTTGAAAACAAGGTGAGTTCCTATTTTTATTTGTCTGGACACACAATTTTTTTGTTCTGTTTTATATTGATTAGTTTCTGTATTTGTCCAAATGAATGGCGCACCAGGCCGCAATTGACGTCATAACACTTTAGGAAGACGGTATTAAAGGGAAGAGAAACACAAAAAAATAGAGGAAAAAGATGAACTAGAAACGTTAAGAGATCAACGGTCTAAAGTCAATTCCGTATATTATTAGTACAAATAGGAACCAAAATTTAGGTATATTGGACAAACAGGCGGGACCAGATGGAACTGGTTGGAGAATTTTAAGAATTTGTTGATTACTCATATTTGGTGAACTTCAGAAACTGATAGGAGAAATGAGGTATATATTTCTTATTCTTTACTTCTAAAGTCTATTAGCAAAAAAAGATACCGTAAACGCTAGCCGCCAACTCTGAGAACATATATCTGGGTTCCTGTAAAAGATATTAAAAAGTCGTCAACTGACGAAATATTTTTGATACTGTATCTAACATTTTGTTAGTTGACTACTTTTTGATTACTACTACAGGAACCGAAATATAAAGGCTTAACGTTGGCGGTTCGGGTGGCCTTCTATAAAATAATTACGGTGACTAGATCTCACGATCTAATCAGCTTTTGATCAGCTTTTGATATGATTTGATCATTTTTTGTCACTCTCGTAAATCTTCCTGCGAATGCAAAACTTTTCATAACATTTCGATTTCTTTTAGGTCTAGATTACCTCTCTTGAAATTTTTCCTTTTCTAGCGATAGACCTCAAAATGTTAAGCATTTTTCTGAAATTCTGAAACATGAGACTCGACGTCCCCTGGAAAAATCCCAATTTCAATATTATCTAAAGCATTAAACTTTTCAAACAAATCAAAAACTATTTGTAATTGGGACTTATCACCATTTGTTTATCCTTTCCGTCTTTGCTATCATCATTCATGATTTGTGTTTCTTCGTTTTTTTTTTAAACACAAACATCTGCAACTCCTAAAACATCGGTACCCGGTTCTATGTGATTTCTGCTCTCTCTCCGTTTTTAAATAATTATTCTTTACGAAATTCAAAAAAAATGACATCATCACAATGGAATTTATTCTACTACAGTAACCTCCATTAGGGTAACTGTTAGTCATCTGATTTTTTTTCCAGTTTTTCGTTTGTTTAACGAGTTAAAGGTACATTATGAAACCTTTAAAGTCATACTGTAGATTTCATAAGATTCAGAAATCCAATCTGCTATCCAGATGGCTATTTTATTCCGCTTGACTCATTCCATTTCGAAACTGAAGAAAAAACGAAAATTGGGGTATTTCAAAACGATAAAATGACTCAGAAAGCGGTTACTAAGCGGAAATTTTTGACTATGTATACTTAGACCCTTTCATAATCCAATATTGCAAAAAATTCTTTTCAAAAAAATTTCCGGAGTACCAGATCATGACAACTCATTTTCTTTCTTTCTAACGACCTACTATAATTTAAAATGGGTTTTGTTTTCCTCGAGACAATGAATCACAATCTATTACTAGAAAAATGATTCATTTCTTAGTCTACACTGCTGCAAAAAACACCCCATTGGTGACTAATTCTTTGTCCGTCATTCCGCACCGGGCGTACCGCGCAACGCATCATGACTCACAAGCCATATTCCATAGAATGGGCGGTATTTAGAAGAAAAACCGAACGTTTTGCTTATGGATGGTCATTCTATGTGAAACCGAGCATTTACGGTGGTGGTGTTGGTGGTCATTTTAGTATTCCCTGTGTACAATTTTCTAGAAAATTCCTTCTAAACTTTTATAGTTCAACAACAAATGATTCTGATTAGTTTAGTTTACAAATTCGAATAGAAGTCACATTTCGGAAAGTACTGATAAGGTTTTTTGATTGTTTGAGTTTCATATGTTATCTAGGATGTCACATGGATTCGAATCTAGAAGACTGTTTGACGCGTTTGCATTGTCTGAAATGGAATTTCCCATTAGACATTCAAAAAAGAAAACAAGAATGAATCAGACCTAGATTAGAAAAAAAAGCAATTGAAAAATCGAGTTCCGGATTCATTTTTGACTTCCCTAGGACTCTGTGTTCTGAATCCCCGAATTTTCCTGCTGTTGTTTTTCTCTTTTTTGCTTTATTCGCTCCAAAATAAAACCACACCCCAATCTCTTCTACAAATATACATACACCACATGTTTTTTTTCTTCTGCGTTCATCTTTCTTTTTTCTAATTCCGAGTATCTTCTTCTTCTTCTTCTTGCCTTCTTCATCTTAACCCAGTCTCCCCTTTTGACGTCACATGTCCATCGCAACATCACAATCTGATCATTAGTGGCATACTACTACTGATAACCAAAACAGAAGTAACAGAAGAACAAAAAGACAAAGAAAATACCCCAAAAAGAGGCAACGTCTTCTGTTTTTGTGATATTCTATAGGACCCTTGTTGGAGCTGTGACTCATATTGAAAAATAGAAAAAGGCATAGGGGAAAAACAACGAAATGTGTATGCTTATTATCGCCCACTGCCACGCCATACTTGAACATAACAACAAACAAGATATATCTTTTCTGAAAACGATGAGGTATTCATAGTATTCTGAAATTCTCAACGCCCTCTTCTTGGAAGTACATTGACGCATACTTCCGTTCGATTAATTCGATAAAAGCTGTCAAAGACATTTTTTTCTGCAAAATAAGATCCGTGAGAAAGTGCTCCCATGTTGATCTCTTCCGTTTTTTTTCTTGACTCACTCTAGAGTAACCTGATTGGAAGTTCAAAATCAAATCATCTCGGGGAGAATGAATGAGTCAACATGGTCAGCATCAACAGCTCACTCCTGTTGATCTAGTTTACAAACAACACACAATACATTTATAAATAAATTCCCTCTCGGTTTTTCCTCTTCTCTTCTCTGACCAATTAACAATAGCGATCTTTGTTATCATATGTGCTATAAAATGTTCCAAAAATTCATATTTTGCAGCTTGACGACAACTGTCTAATCCATCAATTGATGAGCTGCTCGACTGGTTGCATGAAAATGGACGAAAAGCTTGATTTAGTTTTATACGCCGAAGAAGACAAGCCACGTGGCAACAAGAGGAGGTATTCTGAATTCTTTTTCGGACCAGAAAATAACTATATCTTCTCCAGAATCGCCTCGTGCAACGCTCCAGAATCCACTGCCAAAATCATGCGAGTTCTTCGGGAACGACTGGAAGACACTGACAAATTCAGAAGTGTCATGGTTCTAGAAGGTATGTTTTTTCCTTTTCTCATGAATCTCTAGAAATCAAGTGTCCGAGAGTGGTTATAGTTGTACGTCATGTAACATGACATGCCCGGTTTTCTGACACTTCTTGTCAAAATTCCGGAGGGTCCATGTGGCCAGCACAGCGTTTTTAAATTCGAATGAACTCGAGAATTTCGGTGGGGTCCACTCTTTTTCATCTTTCCCACTTTTTTCGATTCAATAGTTTATTCTCGAGGATCCGGGGGAGATTTGTGTAAAGTTTGATTTTCATTCCCATTCAAAAAAACACACGATGAGTCAAGAGAAAATAATTCTCGATTATGTGCGACAAAGCCGGTGTGATTTCTTAGTTTTACAAGACGTCAAAAATCAAATTTTGTAGTCAAAATTTGCTGACGTCTTCTGATCTCTTCATAGATATTGTACTTTTAGCTGTAACTTAGTTATCCACATGACCTCAGGAAGTTGAGCTCAATTCCTATCTCTTTAACTGTTTTTGACTTGTTCCGGAGTCCAAAGATCCTGATGAGCAGTGTCATTTCAGATTCTATTCAGATTCTTTTCCCCCATCTCTTCTTTTTTTTTCTTGCTAATGACATTAGGGCAAAAAAAGCTCTCTCCCCTCAACAAGATGCCCGTGTGTTTCTTTTTCCCCTTTCAATTCTTTGCTGTATTCTCATAGTCAATCTCGTCCTTTTCCAGATATTCTAGATTTTGCAGCTTTTCCCTTTTGTTTCATACACATAATCCCCTTTATCATGGGACACTGATGATATAGTCTCTTTCTGCTCAAATCCACGGGTACCAGGCACCGTAATTAGAGGCATGCTCAACGAGTTTCGTGTGAATAGAGGGTGTGTGAGCCAGCAGTTTGAGTACGGTGATCATACTTCGAAGCTCTCTGACTCATAACGATGTCAAAACGAAAGCAAGAGGTCGAAGATCTGGATATATGGAATTCTCAATAAGCTTCTTGAAACGGATACGTCAGATTGTATAGTGATTAGATTAGCTTTATGCCGTTTTGAAGCTGGAAATAAACTTCTTGAAAGGAATGGAAAATGAGTCAATGTAATTATTGCAAAACTTGAAGACATCATTTCTGGAAATGGTCGACTTTGTGGAGCCCTGTCTGTGTAGTCATCATTTTAGTTCCTAATTTCAGCATTGTTTTCAGTATAGTCTTACCTACAGGAAATGAGGATGTTTCGAAATTTAAGACTGCAAACAGAAATGAGATCACAAAAATACCCTTTGCAAACACTCGCACACTTTTTTTCTCCATTTATCTAATCATTTTGTGTCTCTTTTGAACTCAATCATAAATGATTCATATACATGAATCAGAGCCCCCTTTCTTTCTGATGTTTTAAGGGAATCAGAGAAGAGATCACACACTGCAGAACTGCTTCTGCTCCCGCCGCAACATCATCGCTTCTCTTGCTTTTTTCTTCCATCTTGCACACACGCAAAGCCCTTTCTGATTCATACTCCTCTTCCCTCTTTTCCCTCTTTTTCCTCCGCTCTATCCTATTGATCATAAAAGGGCCGCAATGACGACGGACGTCTTCCTCTTCTATTTTCTCATCCGACTTCTCTGCAATGTGCGCTATTTCGAGAATCGCCTAGTTGTCTAACTATTGGAGGCAGCTTCTGGTTTCTCTAGTCCCCTCTCCTCCTCCCACTTCTTCTCCTTCTTCTCACTCCTTCTGAAGACTTCCAAACGAGCGGCTATAGTGCTCTCTTGTCGAGAAACTAGCAACACTTTTCTCGTCTTTACGTCTCACTCAATCTTAAAATGGCTGGTCAACCGTTCGAAGCGTTCCGTAAAAATCGGAAAAGAAAGAAGACCAAGAATAAGAAGAAGAAGAGACAGAACAACGCATCCAAGGCATCAAAATCCGCTATTATTCCGGAAACGATTCTACCAGAAGAGCCATCTGAGATTGACGATGAACCCCTTGCCTGTCTTCCAGTATTCCCTTCTAAAAAATTCGGACTAAAACTTCAATTAGTTTCCACCACAACGTTAACATCTAATTCTTCTCCAATTAGTCCAAATTCTCCAACCAGTGGTAAGTCGCTTTTATGACCATATCAGATGGTATCAGAGTATCAGATGATAACGGGCACATCGACACACTAATTTTATATTGTTTCTGTATTTAGTAATATGAAAAATGACTCATTTTTGTTATTTTCATTCTGTCTTGTCTTCTACATTGTTTTCTTCCCCTTGTCTTCTGTTCTCATTCATTTTCAGTATTCCATATTCTCACAGATTCTGTGTTCAATTTCTTGGAAAATGTGGGGGAGAAAACTATTTACAAAAACAAGAAGTTCACCGCCTTCGAGTTCAGTAGTATGACGTTCTGTTTCTCAAAAAAAAACTAACTGAAAGTGCACAAAAATAATATGATTGGAAAATAGAGAACGAAGAATGGAAAGGTGATAGAACACACTGAAAATATAATATACCTGAACAAGTTTGAGTAGGAGAAGATAGAAAGAAAAAAAGCGGAATGCGACATTGTCATCGATGACTCATTTCGTCAATAGGCGCCGAATGATTTGGGAGAGAGAATGAGAGACGGATGACGCATTGAGAAATAGTTATAGGACATAGAGAAATAAGAGAGCAGAAGGAATAACACAATGTGTCATCGAGAGAAGAGAGAGAGAGGCGGGAATATAATGAAAAACCACCTGTGGAGGGATAGAAGTGACAAAAAAGAGTTTCTATCTCCTCCTACTTCTCCTCCTCTAACCGTTCATCTCTTCCTTGGAAACCATTTATATCAGAAAATGAAAACATCCTCCTCTTCTTCTCTGATTCTCTTTTTTTTCTAATTTTCAATGAAAGCCTTAATGTCTCTTCTATGACTGATAAGTAATCGTTTGTGTGCTCTTCATGTATAAGGAATAGAGCAACTCTTAAAATATACTGAAAATTGCTAACACCTCAAACACCAGATAGGTATTCAGAGAAATAAGATCATACTACAGTAACCCAACTCTCTGATCTTTATTTTTCTTTGGAGACTTCTGAATCATTCATCGGGATCGATTCGCAACCTTCTTTAAATTCGAGATCACTAAAAATGAGTCAGTAGTGTTAGTCCCCCCTACAAATTAACGATCAGACATATCAGTCCTTCCCCTTTCTCCCATTTATGATGAATCATTTTTGTTCCTTGCAACCCAACCACATTATCATCTTCCATCAATTATAAATACAATCATATATATGTACATTCAGTTTTGTAATGGTTAGTATTCCATAAGTTCTCTTCATATTCCCATTTTCTTATTCTTCGTCTAGAGCTCCCAAAAGGGTAAACTTCCTTCCAAAAACTTCCGCTTTATCATTTCTTATCATTATAATTTCCTTCCCTTCCTTGTGGAGGCTCCTCCTCTTTTGAATATAAAAGGGTCTGTAATTGATATAATAGTCTAGTCGTCGTCCAACATATTCCTGGAAAACGTCTTCGAAAATTCATCTTTCAATCACGATTACATCTTCTTCTCCTTCTTCTTCTTCTTCTATTCCCAATTTCATCAAAAAATCAAAAATGACGTCTTGTGTAGTTACCCGGATAAGGCCCCAACTTATGTTTAATGAAGACACTGGTCCGCATCCAATTCTATTTTATATGTTTCTCATTTTTCCCATTTTTCAGGTGGCTTCAAACAATTCGCACAGCAATATCCGAATTTGTGCGAAAGTTCCGGAGGTATGACCCGTCTGCCTCAGAGCATCTCCCAACCATGTCTATCCCAACCAAGCGGTGATGGAATCACACTAATCACACCAAATATCTACCTTGGAAGTCAAATGGACTCTCTTGATGAGACAATGTTAAAGGTTAGTGGTTGGGTGCCTCCCAGGATGTTCTTCAAGATTTCATAACTTCATTTTCTCTTTTTTTTTGATTTTTGATAAGTGATAATAACCGGTGCTGAAATCATCAACATACATCACGCGTGTGAGTGAGACATAGTTTAATTCCAGAAAAAAAAACCGACGACATTTTTATATAGAAAAAGACACCCACTTCTCGTTTATTTACATACCTCCCCGGGGGTCAACTGACTGCCAGAGGCGACATGTGCCTCTTCTCTTTGTGTAATCGAAAGATGATTCACCGCTCAAAAAATGCGGTAAAAAGTAAAATAGTCTTACTGTAACGGATTTTTTCCAGGCTCTTGATATCAGCGTCGTTATCAACTTGTCATTAACATGCCCAAAATCCGTTTGCATCAAAGAAGAGAAGAACTTTATGAGGATTCCAGTCAATGATTCATACCAGGAGAAGCTTTCACCTTATTTCCCAATGGCTTATGAATTCCTGGAGAGATGCAGAAAAGCCGGAAAGAAATGTCTGATTCATTGTCTTGCTGGAATTTCTAGAAGCCCTACTCTGTGCATCTCGTATATTATGAGATACATGAAATTGGGAAGCGATGATGCTTACAGGTAAGCATCTCCCACTCAGTTTGACATCATCTAATCCTGCCTTTTTCCAGATACGTCAAAGAACGTCGTCCATCAATCTCACCAAACTTTAACTTCATGGGACAACTTCTCGAGTACGAGAATGTTCTTATTAAGGATCACGTTCTCCGCCACGATCAGGCATCTAGACCGCATCGCCACATTGATTACTACGGGCCATCGGATCTTTGCCCGCCAAAAGTTCCAAAGAGTGCATCGTCGCATTGTGTCTTCCCTGGACCAGCAGACGATTCCTCTTCTTCCCCTTCCCCATCATCCCCTTCCGTATCTGAAGGATCAGCAGCTAGCGAGCCGGATCAACCAACATCTTCCGATGCATCAGCCTCTACAAGTGAACCTGAAACATCGGTGACAGTTAACCAGAATGGAAAGCGAAATATGACAATGGATCTGGGCCTTCCCCATCGGCCGAAAGCCCTCGGACTTCCTACAAGAATCGGAGCAGCAGTTGTGGAGCTGCCGTCTCCATCAACTGAACTTTCAAGATTAAGCTTTGATGCTCCAGAAACGAATGTTCCATCTACTCCAATTCTTAACTTCACCAATCCATGTTTCACTTCTCCAATTGTTCCGGTTGCTCCAAGCTCAAGGGAGAGTCTCTCAACACCAGCTGCGTCTTCATCATCTTCTTCATCAGTTTCTTCTGAGCCATCATTTGAGTTCTCATCATTCGAATCCTCATCATCTTCCTCAATTGTCGTTGAGAACCCATTTTTTGCTAATGCAGAAAGCGCAGGACCATCTTCATCATCATCATCCTCTGGATACATTTCTTCTGCATCACTTCCAACATCTGCAGCTGCCGCAACAGCTTCAAGATGTAGAATGAAGGGGTTCTTCAAAGTTTTCAACAAGAAGATTCCAGCAGTGCCTGTCACTATCCCTGTGAGTTATAATGAAAATCGAATCTAGGAAACCAGAATGTTTTTTTACTTTTACTATCCCACAAAAAGCCTCGTTCTTATTTTCTGTATTTTAGACTACCACATCCTCCACTCCTGGACCTTCCCGAGCAACTCGTCCCGAATGTCTCCGATCATCAGGCATCATCATCTCTGCTCCAGTCCTTGCGACGACAGAAGAAGAGGACGCCGAGTCTCCAGAATCTGGGTTTAACGAACCAGACGTTGTTGGAGAGGATGACGATTCGGTTTCGCTCTGTTCGACGAGTTCTCTGGAACTTCCGTGCCAATAAAATATTAGTCTACCATTTTTTAACAACCAAAGTTTCTTCAAGTTGAAGAAAAACACTGATTGAAACTTTTGATTTTCAATCATGACATGTTTATTTATCCCTCCAACTCCCTCACTCAAAAAAGCAGTATGTGATAATTGTATCGCTCTCTTCTCTTCTCCCATCCCCAAAAATTCACTCACTCTCCACGTTTTTAAAGTGTCGACGGGTACAGTGTGTGTGCTCTTTTGAATGAGCACCTGGCCCTCTTGTTTTGAAGCAATACGTCTCACTCTCACTTCATTTATTTTTCTTGTTAATTTTTTTCCTGTTAGAGTATCCCATTTTGTCATTTTCTTTTTTGTCTATTCCAGAAACTTTTTTGTATATAACCCGGAAATCTTATTTATACCCCCTCCCTTTCCTTCTTTTACACCTCCTCTGAATCTGGTCTAGCCTTCCCCCTAAAAAAGTTTCCAATTTACTGAAAAAAAAAGCAGAATATGCAATTAATAATAATGAAAAGGATTTTTTTCAAAATTGTGTTCAAAGCATTCATGAAAAAGACAACATTGTATGAAAAATTAGATCTTGAGTTTTTTTTTCATATTCCATAATTTGTCATATATGGTATAGGTGTTGTACAGATAGACATTGTACAAAGACAGTCCTCAACCTGAAAAACTAGTTCAACCAGACATCAGATTTTACAGAGACATGTTATCAAAATGTTGTGTATCTGACTAATACAGTTATTGAACGAGGGGGGCATTCCTTCAATTTGATTTCAGAAAATTTCAAATGTGTCCAACAATGAAAACTATTCCAATCAGAGACGACAGTAATTTGAATTTTCAAATTCGAAAGTCAGAAGTCGAAATTAAACTCTGAAAAATGTAGCTTTTCATAGCTTGTTATTTTGCAGCATAAGTAGGGTACTGGCGCTGATTTCGGACATTTTTCATTTTTTTTTTTCTGGTCAAAAATGAACAAATCTCGCAAATTGTTTTTAAAAAGTCATTGACGGAATTCGAGAGTCGGAAATCGAAAGACGAAATTCTTGACATCTCGGATTCCAATTGATAGTCCAACGTTTTCCAATTTTTCAGACACTTACACTCATCTTGAAACAACTGAGGGTGAAAATAACTCAAACCTATCAGTGCTACATTTTTGATCTAATGGTCAATCTAACGGCCTATCTACCAAACAACCCACTGGACCTTTCTCTAAATTTAAAAATCAGATCAGTCACTTCTAACTGTGAACCGGTATCTTTAGTCTTTCATCAATTAGAAGCCCACCCAAACTGTCAAATTTAGACTTAATTATCTCGATTCCTGTGAAAGATATCAAAAAGTAGGCCACTGACAAAATATTGGTGATATTATAATGAACAAATTATCAGTTGACAAAGTTTTCATATTTTTCACAGGAATCGAGATAATTGAGCTCAAATTGACAGTTTCTTCTATTAGAGTGAAACACTGCATATTTGAAAACCGGTGTATTAAAGTGTGATCGAATAACTTTTCGCAGTCAGCTACACATCTGATCCATTGAAAGCATCTTATCCATCCATCGGCAAATGACTCATTTTTAATCCGAATCAACCCAGACTTGAACTTTGTTTCTCTCTTGTCTCCACACAAAATCACAATCCACGTCACAGCTGATCTTTTGGGCGATTGTAAAGAAGTCCTACTACTGAAAGAACAATCATGTTCTGAAACATTATCGACTTATCAAATCTGACGACTACTCAATTTCTGGTAGACACGGGACCTTAATTATTATATTCAGCAGTTTTTCAACTTGAAAAACCGATTCTCTGCACACATATCTCATTTTCACATAGTTTCTGAACTATTATTATCATTTACAATCGAAAAAATGGTTATCATTGTTCCGTTTTTGATCTAGCGAATACGCCGAACAGCCCAACTGACTCATGATCTAAATCAACAAACCAGATCAATCACTTTGCTATCAGCGATCTATTTTCTTTACGTCACAAAACAATTGTTCAGTTGAACTGAATGACCATCATCATCATCCTCTTCATCATCAAACACTTTGTGACTTGTTCGATTTTTATTCCAGTCATCAAAAATCGCCCCCTCTTCTTTTTTTCACTTCTAAACCCTCGCTAACCCTCTTGCCAATCGGTTGTGTTGCAGTTTTCTGTCACGTGGTTTCTTCAGGAACAAAAGCCAGCGGTTCCGGCGGTAACACATTTTATTTCAGACGGACAAATTTTTTAAATAATTGAAGATGAAGATAAAGTTGAATGAGAAAAATGTTACAGACAGATTAACGGAAGCTCTGAATCCCCAATTGATTACTTTTTTCGCGCGCACAATTTCAGATAAAGATGGTGAAATGGAAAATGACGATGGATGACGATGAAAATAAAGAAAAAGAAGAAGTTGCTTCAGAAGCAGTTATCCGAGTCTTTGAAGATTTGAGAGACGACCGTGTGAGTCGAATTCTGTGAACGCTTCAGGGCCCAAGAGCTGCTGGAGACGAGCCATCACCAGTTCCTGCTGGTTTCCGTTACTGAAAAATAATTTATGAATATATTGGAAACAGTTAATGCTCTTATATGTAGAAGGCCACCTTACTTGCACTGGCAAGAACAGGGTGGCGTTCTATTAGAGCAGGTAGGGTAGTTCGGATTGGTAAAAAGTTTTGGACGATTGAGAAAGGTATGACTTCTCAATCGTCGGGTAAACAAAAAGAAATTGGTTTTGGGAAATATTATCAGTTCTTATTTTAATTTGCTGAGAACTGAAGTATTAAAAAAAGGAAAACACTCTGTACTGAAAGATAGATATTGGCATATGAAATGAAAATAAAGCTCCATTTCTATACATAGTTGAATATTTTTACCGTAAAGCCTGTAAAGGGCCACCTAACCTTTAACTTTGAGCCGAGTTATCTCGGTTCCTGTAGAAGGTATGAAAAAGATGTCAACTGATGAATTGTTAATCATAATATCAGAAGTGTTTTGTCAGTTGAAATATTTTTTGATAGCTTGGAAAGAAATCAGAGAAGAATGAGCTCAAACTTGACAGTGTGGGGCCTCCTATTACAGATTTTACCGTATGTGAAAACTTGCTGATAGTGAGCTGTGTATTCGTGTTGAAGTCGAATTTTTGAAGTGAGAGGAGAGGAAACGGGTTGTAAGAAACTTAAACTTTTACAGCACAACTACACACAAAAAAAACCGTCGACCAAAAACATTGAAACTCTATTTTTGTTAGATAGAGTCTATTACTTCCAGAACAATCGAACGAGCTATAATCACTCAAAGTTATAACCATTTAGTGCCTTCTGAAAATGCCGTAAAACCTGTAATAGAAAAGCCTCCACACTGTCCACTTTGAGCTAATTTTCCTTGGATCCTATGCGAGTTATCAAAAATGTGTCAGCTAATGAGATGTTTGCGTTATCATGACAAACATTTCATCAGTTGACAACTTTTTCATATATATTTTACAGGAACCGAGATAAATAGGCTCAACAGATAAGGGTTTTCTCAAATCGTTTTCTATTGTTTCAAAACACAATACTCTGAACATTGTATCCTTCCTCCTACTATAACTGTTATAAACAAGATCCTTAGCTTCTCGATGACGTTTCCTTTTTTCACCACAAAAAAAATCCATCTTTCCACTAACCTGGCTCTCTTATAGATGAGCTTTGGTTGCTCCTCGAAGAGCAGATCGAACTCTTCCAACGGACGAGCAGTGCTGGCAACCAACAACAGGAACAAAACAGCGATACAGGAACGCATGATGACAGATCTCAAAAGGGATACCTAGAAAATATGAAGTGTTGTGAGAGAATTGAAAAAGGATGAGGCTGGAAGGAAAGGTTATATGATTATATCAACTTGCGAAGAGATCGGAAAGGTTTCGTGGGAAGGAAAACGTTGGCAGAGTCGGAAAGAAAACAAAAAGAAGATTGAAACGGAGGAGCTTGCCCAAAAAAAGAGGCGGGATTTCGGAGAGCTACAGTATCCCGCAACGCCTATTCGGAACCACCAATTTAGGCAATCTGTTTTATGTGGTGTCAAAATGGGTAAATTTATTGCTATACAACGGAAAAGAAAAAAGAAAAAGGATGAGGAGTTTGTTGAAATAATGGATAAAGCAAAAAAAGAAAAGTGACGAAACATGGAGATCCGATGTTGATGTTGTGATTCTGTGAAACTATGCTTCTGACGTTTGTCAATATATTTGGAAGATATGTTCTCTGTAAATCAAGAAGTAGAATGGATGAAAGTAGAAAGGAAATCATAACAAAAAAGAGATTATAAATATCGTAAGATGATTTTACATGATTTTAACTAAACTTTACAATTTCCTAGTTCGAAATTGGAATATGACCTGGACTGTTAGTTTTCAAGGCTTCGTTTTGAGTTACGAAATTAGAAAACATTTCGGCTAAAGAACTGGACCAAAACTTTATGGAAAAAATAGGCACAAATACCATTTTCAGAGAATGCGTCTTCGAAAAAAACGACATCAAGAGAACACCGTCAATTAGAAGAACACCATCGCTTCAGAGCCTCCCAGAGAGAAACTATGTCAAGGCTCTCCGTCACAATTACAGTAATCCTGACTCATTTCCATTCTATCTTTTACATATCCCATGGTTCCTCCGAAAGACTCATTTGAATTTTGAAGTATATGAATAAATCACGAATGTACAAAGAAGAAATCCAAACGTCGAGAACGAATAGAGTGCGAAATATGTGTTGCTCCCTGGTAGGACAATATGAGTGCTGCGAAAACGAAGAAGAATTGGGGCGGTGAATAATGAGGGATGGGGTTCGTTTTTTTTCACCGATGAGACATTCTTATACAAGTGACACATTCAAAGCAACTGAAAAATATGGTGAAATCATAGGCTGGTGTTGGGTGTAAAGAGGTGGGATTATGGACGATGGATGGTGAAGAATGCGTAATTACAAGGTTTTTCAATTAACTCTGGCTTAACTATTATATTATTGCTTGCAATTGTTGCGCTTTTCGTAGATTTTGTTTCTTCTTTCTTGTTTGAAATGTAACCCAGTGATGTAGGGACGCCAAAAACTGAAATTTGAACACCGCGCCGAAATCGGAATGCGCCGGAGCGACGTTGCGTAGAACGAAATTCCTCACTTTTATCTTGAAACAACCCGAACAAACAAAATAATATTCTAAAATGTCGCTGGAAATCGTTCAACGGAATCTTCTGAATATTCTAGAAGCAGTTGCCGACGCTGTTACTATTTCCAGTGCGACAAAAAGGTATTTTATTAATCAGAAGAAAAAAAAGTAAACACATTTATTTGTTCAGATGCCGATTAGTTGCTGTTAGTAAAACCAAGTCTGCTGAAATGATCGAGAGCTGCTTTTCGCAAGGACAACGTCATTTCGGAGAGAATTATGTTCAAGAAGTGAGTAGTTTACCTGTTCTAATGATTGTTCAACTCCATTATTTTTTTTAGCTTGAAGAGAAATCTGCGGCTTTGGCATCGAAATGCGCAGAGATTCGATGGCATTTCATTGGACAGGTTCAATCAAACAAGGTATTTAAATTGGAAAAAAACTACAGAATTTGAACATTTAGATTTCAGATTTCAAAAATCTGCAACTCTTCAGGAATTTGGTGCGTGGAGACTGTGGAAAGCGAGAAACATGCTCGTCTCTTTGACAAAGTAAGAGAAAAAACCGGAACATCCAGGAAAACGTATATTTCAGGAATGGTCAAAACACGGTGCCTCATCTTCTCCTCTCCGAGTTCTAGTACAGGTGAACACATCAGAAGAAGAAAATAAAGGAGGCATCAAAATTAGTGAGGCTCCGAAGCTCGCAGAGTTCATTCGAAAAGAGTGTTTGAATTTGAAGTTCGACGGTTTTATGACAATTGGATCGTTTGATAACAGATGAGTAGAGCTCAACTAAATAGAGAAAAAGAAAAATCGATTTGTATAAAATCTTATAAAAACGCAGCTAAAAATTATAGTCGTGTAGAATAGAACTAACATTAAAATGTTTTCAGCCACGCTATAGAAACTAACATTAAAATGTTTTCAGCCACGCTAGCGGAGTGAATCCTGATTTCGAAAAACTATACACTGTCAGGCAAGCCTGGTCAGAAATTACAGGTGTGTTTTTATTTATTTTCTAGCTCAGCGGGCGTCGCAGAGTGTGGGAAAGAACAGAACATTGTTTTGAAACGAGGCCTGAAAATATAACTTGACAAACGGTTATGTTTTTTCAATCGAGTATCATGAATTTCAATAGAACACAAAAAATGTTTTTCAGGTGAAACTCCCGAGTCTGTAGAATTATCGATGGGAATGTCGGACGACTTCCTTCAAGCCATTCAGCAAGGTTCAACTAGTGTTCGAGTCGGCAGCAAACTATTCGGAGCTAGAGAGTACAAGAAATAAATTAGACAATTTGTATTTTTGAGAATTTTCTTTGTTGTAGTCTTCAGTTTTTATAAAAACCTTCCATTAAGATTTATTGTTCCTATTTGATACTTGTTGTTATCATAATATTTTATATTTGGTTTGACACGATTTGTAGAACTTCTTTACCTAAATTTCAGAAAAAAAATGGACGATTTTCGTTCTCAAATTCTAAAGAAAACAAGAGAACTGATGCTCAATGAGCAGCAGCATGTGAGTATTCATCAGGTTTCAACTAATCTTTATTAGAAGTTTTCAGGAGGAAAACATGAAATCCTGGAATGGAAATGAAACGAAAGGCTTTGAGCTACAGTTTGCTGGAATGAAAAGAGGCGTTCCACAGAAATCAGGAGTCGTTGGTCAGGTTTTCATCAGTGAAGATGGAGGATTCGAAGCCATCATCACAGGATATCTCGTGAAAGGTATGAATGATGTACCGTTTTCAATGTTACAAGTTACTTATAGATAATCTTCGTTCAATAAGTACATCGTTCACTCTCACCCCATCTTCTTCATTGAAATCCGAAATCACCGAAGGTCTTCATCCTCTTGTTCTTGCTGTCGGTTCTGCTCTCACGCTTAATCATGTGCTCATGCTCAACAATGTTCGTGATGAGATTTTGAAGCTTTTGACGCCGAAAGAGGTAGCCAGAGTGGCAAGTGTCTGCAAAATAGCCCGTGCAGTTCTCACTTCAACCGCAGTCGACAATACATTCTGGAAAAAACACTTGAGAGCTGACTTCGGAGCGGAGAAAGTTCAGAACACAATTGCAAATGGCCGAAAATTCCACGGAGTTTATTGCGAAGAAGCAAGAGCTCGCAGAAATCAGCGTGCAGCTCAACCGCATAATGACAATCCCTACCTGATTGGTGTTCATCAGCCACGCATTGATCCCCTTCGAGTCGATCCTCTTCGTGTTCCTGATAGAAATCCTATGAGACCAATTCATCCTGACCCTGATGCGGAGTAAGATTTTTTAATTTAGAATTCATAAAACCAATGTCTTGCAGATGGTTCAATCCACAGGGAGGATTCCTTCCACCCGGAATGCCTCCTGGCAATCCTCAAGTTCCCGATTTATTCAGAGGACCAGATCATCCCGATCTCAATCCATTGGCTGGAGGATTTGGTCTTCCACGTGGAGGAGGAAGTCAAGGCAGACCATTCATGAGAGGACCACCGGGATCTGGAGGATCCGGAGGCGGGGGATTTCTCTAAACTGTCTCAAGAAGTTATGCAATAATAATTTCAAATTTTCATATTTCAATTATCTTGCTTTTCTTTGCTATTTATGTAATTTTTGAATGACTTGAATGTGGATCCGCTTCTAATAAAATGCAAACCTAAATTAGCTCTGTTAGTATATTTGTTTCCCACGGAGAGATTCAAGCTGCTGACATGAAAACCACAAGATTCTGATGATGTCGATTTTCTATAAGCAAGAGTAAATATAGGACTCTTCTCGAATCCTCTTCTATTAATTGCAAGACGAGTAGGTGGGGGAAAATATGTACTATTCCATATATGGATAAATCTGAACTTCTAAATAAAGTATTCGTTTCTTTCAGCCTTCATTTCATCCAGAAACAAATAAAGCACTCATGCTTCCTCTAGTTCCCTTTTTCGGTTTTTTTCGCTCTATTTTCTATCCAGTGTTATTTTCGGATCATCAATCCGGAACAAAGGTCAAACATCTTTTTTTATTCCAGGAACTGGAAAAATTGATTTAATTCAGCTCTTTTTATGAAACTGCGAAGAAGAATAAGATTAGTATTTTTTCGGTGTGAAAACTCAATTTGATTAAGTATTTTGTGTATGTAAACACTTTTTTCCGATTGAGGTATGAATTTAGAAAAGATGTAAATATCTTTTGAGATCAAACAATGGTCAGGAAAGATCGAATAAAAATTGCCTTGTTCATTTTATTGTCATTCATCTGATTTGTGCTGTCAATATTTCTATTTTTAGTCGAAATAACTTTGAATCTGGTGCAAAAAAAATCCGATATTTTGAAGAAAAATGCCGGTGATCGTGGTCGAAAGTCCCACAGCGACAACTACCGTAATCTAAAAATGATTTTATTTGCATGATTTATTATCTCGTTTTTTTACTGATTTTCGTCGATTTTCTGATTTTTTTCCGGAAAATAAAAACAATATTAGAACTCCCAGGTTCCAAGCAGTGTGCTTACAATTAGACTGAGAAAAACTCGTCAACAAAATAAATAGAGCTCTACTTTTTGTCAGTAAACCTATGAAATTCAGAAAATTCAAAGTCCGAAATTACCGTATCCTCTAATAGAAGCCCACCCAAACCATCACCTTTGAACCAATTTATATCCGTTTCTGTCAGAGACATGCAAAAGTTGACAACTGATAAATTTTTTATCATAATATCAGAAATTTTTTAACAGTTACCCATTTTCGATTACTTTAATAGGAGCCAAGATATTCAAGCTCAAACTTGACGTTGTGGGTACCCTTTTATTACAAGTTTTACGGTTTTAGCCATTGACTCATAAAATGCTGTTTATAAACCTCTTTTGTCTGTTGATAGTATTCAATGAAAAACATCTAGAATTTCCCTTTCTCACCTAAACTACTCGTTTCTATGTCTCAATTCTTATACTGACCTCAAGCAGATTAACAAGATTGGTTTCCTTGATTTTCTGGATTGCGTGCGACTTCTAAATCTCCTTATCTCACTTTGTAGCCCTCCTTCAATTCAGCATTTCTCTGTTTTAAGAATTCTCAAAGTTTTTAAAAATGAATACAACTGATTGCCATCCTCCAGAAGATGAAATGGCCGGATTGATTGGCATATACATTTTTCAAGGTATTTCATACCATCATCTAAATAGCTGTATTCTAGCATTTCAGGTTTTTATGGATTTCTATCAGTTCTAATCTATTCATTAAACATCAGAGCTCTCCGGAACCACAAAGGCAATATTGACAAATCGTTCAGTCTTCTGTACATATGCTGTGCTGCATTGGTTTGTAAATTAGCTTCCATAATTTTGATCAAGGAACAATTTTTCAGAGTATAACTTATTTTCTGGATCACTACCTGATCCGAAGGTTTGTGAAGCTTGGATTCTTTTGTGAATTCATTTTGGCCCATTTCAAAGATGCCAATTATTGGATGAATCCGTATAAAACGGTGGCTTCTTATTGTCCAATTGCAATTCTTGTATTCCATACTTTAATAGCTGCTCATAGGTTTACAATAGTTGCAGCACCTATCAGAGGTGTTCAGGTAAGCGAATTGAAAGATTCAATAGGTCATTTCTGATTTTCAGATCTGGGATCGTCATCGACGGATATTTGTGTTGTTGGGTTTTGTGGTTCCTTTGATATTTATGTGGTTCATGATTCCATGCAAAAGTTTTGCAGAGTTAGATTCCGAAGGCTCTGGAGGCTTAGATATAGAATACAAAAAGGTTTTCAATGTAAGCAACAAGTCTAAAAACGATTTCTGCTGTATTCATTTTTCAGTTAAGTTCCTCTTTGTTCGCTGCAATTGCTGCTGTGTTATTCGGTGTTCTCACTTTTCTACTAACAATTGGAATGTTGATACTCCTCGCAAAACTGAGTCTGAGAAAAATGAGTCAAGCTGAAATCAGTTTGATAGTTTTCGAAATTTTTATGACAGTGTTTACAATGATCTACGCATTCACACAGGTTATTAACGTTGCATTTGATATGTATTCTGATGTTTTTTTAATTTCAGGGAGTACTGTATTACTCAATTTACATTGCGAAAGATCTAGAACTGAAAGCTACCGTAATTCAATTTCGAAACTTTGCAATTGACATATTCATACTACCTCAAGCATGGACTCTACTATTTTTATCAACTACGGTGAATGCGTGCTCTCTTAATATCTGATTTTGAACCTGATGTTTTCAGGTTCGTCGTTCAACTCTACGAGTATTTGGAAAACATCTCGGAATTGAGTTTCTGTCCACTGACATCGAAAATCAGAAAAATACTAGAATCATGTCAACTGCGCCACCAACTTATTCATTGCAAAAAGCGATTGTGTTAAATAACAACTTTACAATTTCTAGGATTTAACCTATTTTCGATACGGCATCTTTGATAAATTTTATTATTTACATGAAGAATTTTAAGTGAAATTTAAGTGAATTTATAAACAACAATAATTAGATTATTTAGCTTCAATCGTTTTTCTTTGCTTCCATATTCTTGAAGCTGAATGTTGCACCCGTCGCTTCTTTTGGTGGCTGACTTTCCGTTTGTTCATCCATGTCCATTCCTTTGACAACGAAATAGAGATCACAGAAGAATACAATTGTTGCTGGAACTAATCCAATGATGAATCGAGTGGGAAGATCCAGTTTCATATGTGGATAGGCATACGTCACTCCTGAGAATCCGAAGAAGAAGGCTCCAACCACGGTGATGATGACGTTGATGACAGAAATCATTTGACGATTTACAGCACGCATTTCGGTACCGAAATTCTGGAAATTGTTCACATAAAATTTTTAAATTCAAATCATAATCCTCACCTCCATATGGTCGGTCCTCCCGTATTTTTGAGCTGGATCTATATCTCGAATGAGTTTTTTGTACGAATCTTGCTCCTGTTGAATTCTTAATTTGTCCGTTCTTTTCCGAAATTCTTCGGAAGCACGGTATGTGTGATCTTCATGACGTAGCGTCAGACGATCAAAGAAAACGAATACTGGAACATCATCAGGCAATTTTGTCTGAAATCGGAGACTTTCAGTTATTTATACGAATCTGAAAATTTATTTAAAACCTCACCTTTATATTCACCAAGTCTTTGTAGGTAACAACGTCTTTTTTGTACAACTCTTTGCACGACTTCGAGGTTTCAGGAGATATTTTCTCTTTTGAGCCAGCAACCAAGTCTCGAAGAAGGTCTTTGTCAGCTTGTGACACGTTCCATTGGGCCATTATGACTGAAAATTAATTGAACTGGAATTTTTTTATGAAAAGAAATTGCAAATAATTTTCTGGAAAAACTAAAATTTCGGATTCATCTCGAAAAATGGTGATGTATGATAATTTTTGGTCGCCGTAAATCGTACTGGTCTCTGAAAATTCTTCAGAAAACTGCGCCCGCATTGCGAAACACCGTGCGGGCCCATTGCAATGGCCTCTTCTCTCGAGAAACCTAGGCCAACCATAGTCGGCCATCTTCATTTTGTTTATTTTTCTGATTAAAAAATGTAAAAAATGTGAAAAAATCTAAAATATCATTTTAAGAAATTAATTTTTTTTTCAGATGAACAGCAAAGTTATCTTGGTTCTTCTCATCACAATCCATCTCGTCTTGGCAGTTAGTAAACCGAAAAAGAAAGACATAACAAGTTATACGTAAGGAAAATGTTGTACAAATCGGGATTTTTTTTTCGTATTTGAAGCGATGCTGATCTTGAAAAACTGTATGATGAGTGGGAGGAAAACGACGATGAGGAATTAGAGGAAGATGAAAAACCAGAGCACAAAAGAACTCCACCAAAGCTCGATTTAGATAGTATGAAGGCAAAGGTGAGTCAATTACTTTCAAAAGTAAAGCAAAAAAGCATTCTAGGGAAAAAATCCTGAAGACCTTCTGATGATGTCGAAGAAGGGACAAACTTTGATGCTGTTCGTCAGTGTAATGGATCCCAGTCAGCCGGATCGCAACGATATTCGCCCATTCACAGAAAAATGGACAGCTCTGTGGCAGTCACAACTTTACAACAATCACGTTGATCTTCAAGTATTCGTTATCGATGACAATCGAGCTATATTCATGTTCAAAGATGGAGAGCAAGCGTTCGAAGCGAAGAAGTTCCTTCTAAAGCAAGAATATGTTACGGAAGTTACAATCGAAGGACAGAGTTTCGACGGTCCTGCAAAGAAGCTGAAGACTACTAAAAAAGAACTTTAAATATTACAAATGAATTCAATTGAATTTATTTATGCATATCCTAGTCATATCTTTGATACACTTTACGAGTTTTTCAGTCAACCATGTGCCTTTCGAAGCTTCACTTTCATGTAGCATAATAATAAATAAAAGATTTCTGAAATTCTTTAAAAATGTATAAAATCTGTTATGTCTCTTTTTAATACTTCAAAGTTGAAACTTCAGATTCCAGGCTTTAAAATTCAATTCAGAATGGACGCTGACGTTGAAGAAGCTGCATTAGAACAGGTAGCAGCTTTACTGCAGCGTCCAGATCAACTAGAAAAGTTGCCTGAACTGAAAAAGCGAGCTGATCGGAAGAAACTCGCAGTTGAGGCCATGCTCAGAACTGGCGTTCAAGGCCAACTTGAAGGAATCCGAACAGCCATTGCTCATTTGCAAACTGCTTCAGAAGACGTTACTGCTATTTCTCAGGGGTAAAATATTTGAATTGTTTCAAAAATTAAAAATTTCATGCGTTCAGAGTAGCTGACATTCGTGAGCGATTAAAGCCGTTTCCTCAACTAAAGGAAAAACTCCGCGAGCTTCGTGATGCCAATGCTCGTCATGGACAATATGCAGCAGCAATGGAAAATTTGAAGCATATTTTCAATCTTCAAGCAACACTTCAAGAAATTCGCGATGCGTTGGACGATGATAAATCGGGTGGTAACCTCTTGCTAGCTCATAAACATATCATGGATCTAGAAAGAGCACGGGATGAGTTACTTGCAGAAGTTCACAAAATGAATGAAACGAATACGGAAAAGGAGCAGAATGTGAGCCGACTTACATATCGAATTTAAGTACTAAAATTTTATGTTTCAGCTTCTTGTAAATTTTTTCAAAGGGTGGACGTCGTAGTAGCCGAACTTTCGAAAAATATGTGGTTCATTTTGGGACGAACATTGGAAATGGTCAAGGGCAATGAACAAGGTGGTGGACCACAGCAAGTTGTAACATGTCTTCGAATTGTTGAAAGAGAAGAGAGGTTTCTTAAATAATATTTCAAATCTATCTGAAAAGTTTTTAGAATCGACAATTTCTACATGGATGCTCGAAGTAAGAACTCTTCCGCATTTGTGCCGCCTGGACGACCAAGAAACTGGAAAGAGAAAGCGTTGAGATCACTAGAGAAAACAGTTGTCAATCGTGTGGACGGTAATCAGTTAGAGGATCGAAGTCTCAACAAGGCGTGGCTTGCTCGATACCTAGAAGTGTGTCGGAACGTCATCATGGATGATTTACAGTCAGCGAAAGTTGCGATTCCATGTTTCCCCCCAGACTGGCAAATTTATGATAGATACGTTAATATGTATCACAGTGCTGTATGTAGAAAAGTAAGTCGGTTAAAAGAAAATCTCTAGTCAATTTTATCAACTACAGCTCCGTGAAGTAGCTTCCGATCGTCTCGAAAAAAGTGAACTGGTTCAATTGATGTCTTGGATTAAGTTCTATGCATCGGAAGATATGCTGGGCCATCCAAAATTGAAAATCAATGCCCAGGCCATTCTGCAAGACAGTCCTGTTTTGACTAGAAGCACTTTGAATTCCCTTTGCGATCAGTTTGTGGAAATGTCGAGAGAAGACTTGAAGTTGTGGCTGAAGAATACAGTGTCCCATGAAACTCTGGTAAGTTTTTGGTTAATATTTTATGAAAGTTTTTTTTTAACAATACGACATTCCTCTATGTAATCGTTTAGGATTGGAACAAGAATGTTCGACCAAGCGAGGATAATCATGGATACTTCTACACTGATTTGCCAAACACTGTATTCGGAATGCTCAAAGATACGGTAAGCCAGTTTTCAGTGTTTTTTGTGGTTTTCTAGTTTTTTTAACCACGTCCTCTTTTCCTTTACATAAGGAACCACAAACTTATTACGGAAATGCCACTTGTCAAAAAGTGTATGTTGTTTGACAAGGAAGAACGTCTTCTTCCCTTATGAACTCGTTTCGCAAATTTCAAATTCCGTCATCGCGCATCTGCGGATCACGTCACCGAAATTTAGAAGATGAATTTGTGTATTTCGTATTTTTAAGTGTGTCAGAAAGAAAAGAATTAGCTATGGATGTGGGGTTCACGTGAAGTTCATGGGATGAAAGAAACCTGATTGAGCTTATGATGGACCTAATGAAGAACTTCATATGGTTCAGTTAATATGGCTAATCAAGAAAGGTCTGGTAAAAAGAATACCTTTAAAAAGGGAAGATTCTGACTAATCTCGGGAGTTATATTTAGACAGTATTTTTGTTTTAACATCCAAAACACTTCTTCAGTTTGACGTTTCATGTCCTTCTATATGAATATTAGATTGACAATAGTCCCCCTGCAGCATCTCCAAATTTCCATACTCCCTCATGACTAATTTGTAGAGAAGCGTGGTGGTGAAAATGACTTGTAGTTTCTGTTGATTTGTATTCCAAACGCGATTCAAGTGTAGTTTTAAAACTATGAATAATACAATTTTTGTCTTCGGCGATCCAAGGTGTATACGACTAGTGTAGATACAACGCAGTCTGGTCTCGCGGAACCAAAAAGTTCAGTTTCAGAATTTTTATGCAGCATCCAAAGCTTCCAAATCTGGGATTTCTAGACCCAGAAAGCAGTCCGAAGTGACGCATAGTTTCGCTAGGGGTGTACTGTTGATTTGGTTTATGTTGTGCGAATTGGAAATCTTGGAAATCTGGGCGTCAATTTGAACTGGTTTCTGGGCACAGAAATCCCAGATTTAGGAACTTTGTACTGGTATAATAACCATTAACACAGTGGTATTTCCTCGAGATCTTCTAGAATCTTTTCCCTCAATGAGTATTTTCTAGTCCTTTTTTCTTCCGTTACACAAACACATACAACGCTTATTCATCATCTTAATCATCATCACCAGTGGGTGGTTACATCCCAAAGAACCTCGACAATTAAATTAACACCCCCAGGAATAGAGACGCGAATGACTTCGTGTCGCTTTTTATTCATTGAGAAAAAGTTTCATCTTCCTTTTCCGTTCACTTTCATTAAGTGCCGGACTTCCTTCTGGGAGTTCCTGAAAGGAAGCTTTCCTAAAGTGAAAAAGGCGAATATTGGGGAAAGTGACGCCATTCTTCTTCTGCAACGCATGGAGCGAAAAGCGATAATAGATAATTAGTAGTACGGAAGTGAAGAACAAAAAGATGTTTTTGTTTCTTCCCCTTTCCTTCTCTATGTGTTTCACCTAACAGGATGTAAAATGAAAAGGACCAGAGTACTTTCTGTATCATCCCCAAAATAAGTCAATTGTAGGTGACGAGCTGAAATGCCACCAGGGAGTTTATTGTTTTGTCTTGTGGGTCCGAAAAGAAGAGTCAGGTCGTAAAAACAAGAAAAAATGAATTCGAAGAAGAATAAGGAAATGGGTTGTCCGAATTAACATGAGGTATTAAATATCTCTCTTGGGAGTATAATCATATCTTTTTTGAAAAAAAAATCCTAACAGGTTTTTATGCATTCAATACACTTGGGGTGAGGTTCAGATTCAATTATTTTGGATTTTGGGTTTCTTCAATTTTGTTTTCTCACTCACAGATATATAATCCGTCCTGTGTGGACATCGGATAACGAAATGTAGCTAATAATGAACCCTGAAATATGTTTTTCTGGAAATTCTAGAGGTTGTGAAATAGACCTAGATTAACCCTTGATAACCTTGTATTCACAAGAGTTTCTGAAAATTCCTAGTTTTTCGGATATTTGCTTGTTTATGAAACACACTTTTTTCACTCGTTTTGATACTGAACAAATGAAAAAACAGGTGTCTTTTAGAGATCGCGAAATAGCTGAAAAACTAGGAAGTTTAAAAAAATTCTGTGAATGCAATTTTTTCAATCCTAGTCAGTTTTAAATACACCTCTAAAATTTTCAAAGTGATCTGAAACTTGACAGTCGAGCTTCAGACTCCTGAAAATGCCGAAAATTAACTGAAAAAAACTTTTTGTTTTTTGAATGGTACTGTAGGTACAATGAGAATTCGATAATAAGTCCACATCATCGTAATCAGAATACAATCTCCCAGAATATCCATTATTCTTCGAGACTTCAGATGATCTACGTGAGAATCATGAGTTTTTTNTGTTCCTCACACTCCATTTTGCACAAGAAGGAATACATCTTGGATTCTGATGGGGAGAACCGATGACGTGACTTTGAACTCTTCTAGGTATCAACAATACATCTTCATTTATTCTTCACAATATAGTATAATTATGGGAAATGGTAGTCATCAGTGGAAATTGGGTGCGCAAGTTGTCTGACTGGAGTGAGATCTCTTCTACGGTAGATGCCTTTTCATTATGAAAAGATGAAAACGGTGACAGGAATCAATACATAAAATGTATGGGAGGGAAGGGATGTGAAAAATTAGGTGACTTGGGAGGGTGGGAGGAATTAAAAATGCATGGTCTGGTGGAAGGGAAAAGTTATAGCTGTTTGGTTAACCGACAGACGACGTTATCGATTGTTCAAGCGGAAATGTTCCGAAATTTTGAGCCGGATGAGTCAACTACAGATACTACTCTTTGAACATTTTCGAGTGGGTGATGAGAATAAAGAAATACAAATAAAACTAAAAAATAACATTTATCTTCCCATTGGTATATTTCACTTCTTCGTCATGCAATGGTAGGAGCACACTTTGTGAAGGCACGGGCACGAGAAGATTTCAGCAGATCGTCGTCGCATGGATCCTGTAATTACGAAGTACTGGATCGGGATTCTAGCCTCTCTCACTGACTATGAGTCATAACCTAGTTTAAGAACTCTAAGAGTCTCAAGTTGGCTAATGTTTCTCACCTCTGTTGTTTGAAGAAGCTCTCTTTGCTGCCAACATTGCCTCCTCCGGATCCACGACGGCTCCTTCCGACGCAAGTTGTGCAGCTGCTTGATCAGCTAGTTCCAATGCCATAATACGGTCGTTTGCTTGCGGGAATAGCTATAACGAGAATATTCTTGAATTTCATATTATTTCGGGTTAAGGTCATGATGGCAGAATTGTTTAGTAGGATATCTGCTCCGACCCACTAGCTCAACTAATAAAAAAACTGACCATGAAGAATCCGTTGACTGCTGGCATGGAAGCTAGAAGGCACAAACAGAGTACTGTAGCTGTCGAAGTGTTCATATTTTCGTAGAGAGAGGTTGGGGTTCCGTCTTCGTTTTCTGAAGAGGAGAGAAATGAGAAAAACGGGTCGTTTTGTTGAAAATATGGCGGCCTAGCAAAGGGGCGGAGCCGGAGCTCCGCCTATTTCGGAGCATATAATGGGGGTGGAGTCTCATGCAAAGAACACCTCGTCATGGAATCGGAGAAAAAAACATGCAAGAGAGATTTGAAAAGAAGAATGAAAGATAATGAAAGGTGAAGATTGATGAACCAAATGTGTGTCGGATCCTAAACATCTATAGAAAGCTTCTTCAAAATTCAAAAGTTTTGATTGCACTAAACTTTTAGATCGCATAGCATAGAATTACCATACACCCTCTAGCAGAGTGCCACTCGAACCGTCAACTTTCTCAATTATTTCGATTCCTATGAAAGATATCAAAAATTTGTCAACTGACAAATTATTTATCACAATATCACCAATATTTTATCAACTGACAAGATTTTGTTATTTTTCGTAGGAATCGAGATAATTGAGCTCAAAGTTGACGGTTTGGGTGGCTTCTATGAGAGGAATATGGTACAGTCGAATTCAGAACGAACCGCTATGAGAAAAAATAACCGCCGTTTTAAAAGACTAGACAGTTACAGTACTCCTAATCGGAAATCTCTTTTCTGAATGTCTGCATCGTCATGTCAAAACGATAATCATCAAAATGAGTACTAACATGTCAATCTCTTAAAATCAAATTGGATATTTAGTAGGTGGAATTTGTAAGCGAATGACTATTACGATTACAATCTTCACAATTAATAGTAGACGAAAAAAAAGCTGAATTCAATATTCGAGCAACTTTCGCATAACTAATCTGCTTAATGGAATAACCCACCCTCGGAAACAGTGACGAGGAGGCGGAGAGGATGTTAGCGATTCTGGAGCACAAAGTGCAGACAAAAACAAGAGAGAAAAGTCAAGAAGGGGACGGATGTTGCATATATATCCATACACATAACATGACACCAAGATTTGTCATTCGGTTAACTCTTCTCAGTAACGTAACCTTCTCATTAGTTAAAACGACTCGGATTTCGACTCTGGAGAGAAAATGAGGAATACTATTCGGAAAATCATTTTTGCACATCAGATGATGTCAGATAAAGGTGCCCTGAGGGTTCCGGAAGTGTGAACAGAAGATCCGGATTCAAATTTAGAACTTTAAAATTTCAATAGTTGGAAGCTCAAGAGAACATTGTGACTGATCAGATTCATGTAAATGTTTTCTCAGTTTCAATTCTGTGCGAATCCCCTAGCAGATCTTGTGTGACGGATTATGGAAATTCCACAAAATTAACTTACAAACAACATCCTATTGCTTTAATCTCTGCATAGGAATGTTTTGTAGATTCAAAGAAAAACAGAGGAGAACGATAAACAAAAATGCAAAAAGAATCCAATTTCCCTTGTTCGGGGATTCAGATCGTTTTTCGTCATTTGTCTTGCTTAGCTGCGCTAAAGAATGAATCTCATTTCCGATTTTCTGGTGCCAAGTTTTTGAGCAAAATACCTGTTATCTAGGCAATTATCATGAAAAGTGATTGGTTGATGATAATAAAAAATTGTCATAGTTTTTTATCAATTTGGGATCAATGATTATGATTCTTCGGATTATGAATAGCTAGCTAGCTTCGAGCATCCAGGCCGGTCGGGCCGGGTAATCTAGAACTTCCCCACTACAAATAAAAGTCAAGAAATTCATTGGAAACCGAAGTTTCAGAAATCTTGAACAGCAACTCTTCAAACTTAAAAAAAACTAAAATAGGTGAAGTGCGTGGGGTATTCTTCTTTTGCTGCAAAGTGAGGTTTTTGAAGAAAGCCGAGATAAATCTTGGACCGACATAACTACGGTGAGAGATCCCACGCCAGGATTAGTGATGAGAGAAGGATCTCATAGTTGCAAGGTCTAAGATCTCTTTCCTTTGAATTTTTGGACATCTGATGGGCTAGAAAACAAGAACATCGATCATTTATTGGTGAAATTTTAATCCTGTTAACAATAAATAAAACTGATAATGAAGCAGGCGATTATATGGATTCTGTTAGCAAAACAGAAAGTTGAAAAACTCAAAAATTGAAATGAGTCCGGGGTTTATTTACTTGGAAATTAAGAGTTGTCCTATGATTGATTCTGTTCTAGGACTTTTTATTTTCGGCAGACTATTTCTGTTATGGCGCGTTCAAAGTTGATTTCCAGGAGTAATTTCCTGGAAAAACGCTGTCCAAAGCTGCCATTGTTTTCCAGAGGCTTCCGCTTCGAGACCCGCCGTAAATCGACATGAATCAACAGGAAGAACACAGTCAAAACGAGTGATACAGTAGTTTACTGTTGCTGTAAATCTGGAAAACAATCGCAGATTTGAACAGCGGAAATTACTCCTGGAAATCAACTTTGAACGCGGCATTACAAATTCTAGACGGTTGTCTGTTTTTGTTGTCATTCGAATACATGGAATATTTGGAAAAAAGGCAATGAATGCGGAACAAAAATTTTAGATTTATTCAGATGGAAATTTGTCAGATGAACATCACAGTTTGAAAGCAAATAGAAGAAGATTAGTGACGTGTAATTTCAGAATAATGGAAGAACAAGGAATTTGTGTGAAGAGTACAGTTGACAATGCTCTTTTCAAGAAGAACACCTGAAAAATTTATAGGCAAAAGGTTCGGAAGGTACAAGGGGGTACAAAGTGATTCAGGGCCCACGATCCAAGGGTACATCGAAAAAGGGTACATCGAGGGTACATCGAGTGCTTAGGGTACATTGGTTCTGAGGGTACATGGGATCTTAGACTGTAAGGCGTTTCAGCCTAAGCCTATAATTTTGAGCAGAAATCAAAATAGTATGTATAAAAATATTGATTTACTTTTTTTGTCCACCTAAATGTACCGAACAATCCAATGTACCCTTGGAACCAATGTACCCTAAGAACTCGATGAACCCTTTTTCGATGTACCCTTACTGGGCCGTGATTCAGGGGTTACAACGGAGCCTTTTCCAGGTATTTTGGGCCCCCGAATTGAAAATTTTGTACTCCTAAATTGCTTCTACCCCGTTGTACCTCCGAACTTTTTGCCAAATTAATAGCTTCCAATTATCGTATTTCCTTCATTAGAAGCCCACAACATTTTACTTTCGAGCTCGATTATCTTGCTTCCTTTAAAAGATATCAAAAATATGTCAACTGATAAATTATTTATCATAATAACACCAATATTTCATCTGTTGGTATATTTTTGATAACTCTTATAGGAACCGAGATAATTGAGCTTAAAAAGTGCATGTATTTGGTGGGCTTCTATTAGTGAAAATATTTGCTTATGCTAAAGCTCGAGATTTTTCAAAAGTTTTATCAAAACAGGAAAGCTTACAATTAAATCTGAAAATGGTAATTCCTCATGAAACACATTAATTGCCCCGATTGTCTGAATAATTTTCTCTGATACATAAACAACTAATTATCCAAAACTATTTTCAGGTAACACTGGCTAAGGAAGTGTCCGTGGAAGTGATTCCCAGTATTATCAATTTGACGATTCAAGAGTTCCACGAACTAGCTGGAAAATATAGAGATGCCTTCACTGCTTACAAAACAGACTATTTTGCTGAACGTGGCAGGTTCCAGGAATTCACATCCAATATTGTGAGTTTGAAGGACTCATAATACAGTACCCTCAACGATTTCCAGATCGCCGTTGCCAATAATCTCCACACGTGTATCGAATCGACTGAGAAGTATAAGCAACAAATTCGTCTCTCGATGGAAGGAGAACAGAATTCAGCGACATCTATGCCAACGCCGTTGTCAGCTGGAAGACGAACAGCTGTCAGTCAGCAGCAGCTTATAGAAAACATGGATGCGTTGAATCTGAAATGGAGCAATGCAGCTTCAGTAGCGTAAGTAGTGCTGTTATGATTTTTACATTCTGAAAATATAATTCTGAGAAGTCAGTTCCTGGGAGTACTGTAGCCCGTATGATGCATTTTCCAGAATAAACTACCTCCGGGAAGAAGTAATAATGGATATAGCACCAAGTCTTGCTGAATTGTTCTCCAAAAAGTGGTTGATTGGAAGTGCGGCTCCTGAAACAATTTGCATGACGATATCTGATTATTACCATGATCATAAGCATCTGAGACCGGTGACAAGATCTGCGTTGCTTATGGATCTGCAGTTCAGAATTGTTAGCGAATATTTGAAAGCTATCGAAACTAAGTAAGCGTTTCTTTTTGTCCTAATCACAATTCTTTCATTCTCAGACGCCTGACATTCACATCATATGAAGAACGTGCAACTGCGGGAAAACAGATGAAGTCAGATGTCGCTCGATTAGATCACCTTTATGCCGAGTTCGCCAGTAGTGACGATATGGCAGATCAGGTTATTAAATTTGAAATTAAATTCCTTAAATTTCTGTTTTCAGCTTCCACTTCTCACATCCATCATTTCCGCAGCGGGTGAAGTGATTTCACTTAAAGACAAATCGCTGCTCTCCCTGGAAGCCACGTCTTTTGCTAGAAAGTTCCCGAATTGTCCTGCTGAATTGCTTGCAGCTATCCTTGCCACTCGTGATGATGTTGGTAGGAGTGACGCGCGAAGCTTGGCCGATGAGGTTCTACAACATGTTCAATTCCATCCGAAAGATCAAATTTTCGATCAACTGTTCGCTCTGCGTCAACAGGAAAGCTCTGAATGGCTTCCAAGCATTGGAATGGCAAATGTCTTCAAATCAGATTTTATCTCGAGGCTCAAGAGAGATAACTAAAAACTCCTAATGTATACTTAACGAAAATTAAAAAACGATTGGATCGAATGATACAATATTGATTGAAACACTGCTTCAGATTTACTTTTTGTGATCGATGTAATTTATGCATAAATTATTGAAATTTTTGATTGAAGAAATTTCAGATTTTCGGGTGCTCATTAAAGGGGGAGTCCGCTAATTCCGAAATTTTTGAGATTTATATATCAATCGATCCAGAATTTTGGGTCGGGAAGAGAACTCTCTTGGAGGATAGTCCGAAAATCACTCGTTCTTAAGATATATGCCAAAAACAGGTAAAAAAATCAACGTAGAGGGTGCAGATTAGG